ACCCGGTTCAGTTCCCGCCAAGGGCACGTACCTTGGTTGCAGTTTGTCCCGGCCCTGGTTGTGTTGTGCAGGTGGCAGCCACTTGATGTGTCCCTTTCACGTCAATGTTTCTCTCTCTCTTCCTCTCTCTCCCTCCCACTCTATCTGAACAAAAAAAGGAAAAATGTCCTCTGGTGAGGATAAAAAAAAAAAAAGATTGGAGTCATGCTGACACAGCCAAGAAACTGCCAGAAGCTCAGAGAGAAGCCTTCCTAGTGCGTTAGGAGGGAGCACGGCACCCCGGCACCCCTGGCACCTCGGCCTTGGACTTCTGTCCTGGAGGACAGACACCAACTCTGTGTTATTCTAAGCTATCCAGCTGTCGTGCTTTGTTACACAGTCCAGCAAAGGACACGGACTCAGGGATGGTCTCCTTGACCTCTCTAAGCCTCCGTTCCCTCTTCTGCCACAGCTAAGGCTGCTATACTAGTACCTGCCTCTGAGCTGGCCTGAGGGGCTGGGGGCTCAGGGGCTCAGATCGTGCTCCCAGGCTGTGGCGGCAGCGGCTGCCCACCAGAGGCCAGGGTCTGCGGGGGCTGGGTGCGCTCCCCTTTGCAAGGTCCTGATGGGGTGCAGGCATTCTGGACACAGCCCTGATGGGAACTGCCCCAGTGGGACCACTCACTCAGCCCAGATGGCACCCCTATAACTTTAGATCCTCAGCTTTGAGAAATGGCAGAGCTCATGGTTGGGAATATAAATTCTGGAGCTGACTACCTGCAGTTAAATTCCCACCCGCCGTGTGTTCCCTTTGTGGCTGTGGGTAATTCACGTAGCTTTCCTGTGCCTCAGTTTCCTCATCTGTAGCATGGGACTACCCACCAAATCTATCTCATGGGGTGGTTATGAGAAGTACATGAATTAATCTGTGAATGGGCTCAGAACAGTACCTGGGACCTATGAAGCACTGTGCACATGTCTGCTACATAAAATTTAAAATAGAATCTTCCTAAACCCACCAAATAACCACAATTATTCACACCAGGAATTTCTTTGGAAGAAATGTGTTCACATAAAAACTTGTACATAAGTATTCATAGCAATGATATTCATAGTAGCCCCAAATTGGACACAATCTAAAGTCCATCAACTGATGAATGGATAAACGAATGTGTCCATCCATACAACGAAACATTATTCAGCCATAAAAAGAAATAAAGTTCTGAATCATGCTACATTGTGGATGAACCTTGAAAATATTATGCCAGTCACTAAAAAAAACCCACATATTTTATGATTGGATTTATATAAAATGTCCAAAATAGGTACATTGGTAGAGACAGAAAGTAGATTAGTGATTATCTAGGGCTGGGCAGAATGGGGGAGATTAGGGGATGATGACTAAAGAGTACAGATTTCTTTTTGGGGTGATGAAGATGTTCCAAAACTGACAGTAGTGATGGTTGCCCAACTCTATGAAGATACTAAAACCCTCTTACTTTTACCTTTTGCAAAGGTGAATGGTATGTGAGTTACAGCTCAATAAAGCTGTTGAAACAATAAATAGTAACAATAAGCCCTGGCCGGTTTGGCTCAGCGGTAAGAGTGTTGCCCGCAGACCAAAGAGTCCTGGGTTTGATTCCGGCCAAGGACACATACCTCAGTTGTGGTTCATCCCTGGCCCCTGTTGGGGGGGGTTGTGCAGGTGGCAACCAATCAATGTGATTCTCTCACATTGATGTTTCTCTCTCTCTCTCTCTCTCTCTCTCTCTCTCTCTCTCTCTTTCTCCCTCTCTCCCTCCAGCTGTATCTGAAGATGAATGTAAAAATGTCCTCGGGTGAGGATCAAAAAAAAAAAAATAATAATAATAATAATAATAATAATAATAATAATAAATCTAAGTAATATTTCACAAGCATTAACAACGTGCCAGGCCCTGTCTGGGCACCACATTTCTTCACTGAATCATCACTTCAACTCTCTGAGGAGCTAGGCCGCTATTATCTCCATTTTCCAGGTGAGAATCAGGAGCAGGGACCCAGCTGGTGGAGAGCCATTTGGGCAAAGAGCCCAGATAACCTAGAATCCATTCACGACACACTGTAGGCTGACCAGAGTGGCCTTCAGGACTTCGGTGACCACAATCCACAGTCCAATACAAGGCCTCTGTGTCCTATACACAGGGGTCTCCACAAAGACCCACACGCACACACTTCCTGGTACCCACATTCAGAGGGAGCCAGGACCCTCGCCAACCTTGGATAAATCAGCTGCCTGCATGGTCTTAACCACTTTCCTCTGCTTATCAATATAATCCAAGCTCGTTGTTTGAACCAAACAATACCGAGTGCTATCAAGGAAGAAGAAAGCAAAATTCCCCTGGAATTCCACCTCTCCAGAACAGAATTCACATGGAGGGATTTGGCCCAAGGAGAGAGACATCCATTCATTGGATTAGTTAAATTTTTGAAATTAAAGAGAAAAAAATTTTTTTTTAATTTTTAAAAGCTGGATCTTGACAGGTTGCCTCAGTGCTACCTTATAACCAGTTCCGTGAGCTCAATTTCATCTTTTGTAGCATCACTGGGGGCCTTTGGAAGAAGTGAGGGAGGCTTTGATTCTCAAGTCAGTTTTGTTAAACAGAAAAACTGAAAGGCCAGTTGGTCTGGTCACCCGGATGTGGCAGAAACAGTTGAGTTCATCCAAAACTTTCCTGGCATCTGACCCAAACTGAGGGCAAGTGTTTAGCTGAGAAACAAAGACGGACATTAAGTGCAGAAAACCCCCTTTGTGCCCACACAGTGCACAAGTTATGTTGAGTTATGCAGCTATTTCGGGGACAATGATGTTTTGTAAACAGTCGGCAAAGTGGCTTTGTCGGGATGTTACAGCGGTTTGGAGCCCTTTCACTGACAAAAACTGTGTGGAAGATAAGGCGACACGGTATTTGAAAAATCTGAATAACTTAAATTAGAGCAGATATAGATAACATATATCTGAAAACCTTTGTTTCCTAATGAACCCACGGCTCTATACATTAGTACCTAGAGACTGCCGGCAGGTAGGAAGTAAACGGAGACTTGCCCCCATTTATGGACCACAAAGCCCGCAGAATATGCTTAACACAGTCCAGAAAAGGTGACGCGAGTACATTCCTGGTCCTGTTAACACGGTCTGAGGTGCTGGACATGTTTTATTTTAAAGTGCAATGATTGTAAATATTTTTGAGAATCCTAAACACGCTAAATTAAATTTACATTTTTAAGCCCATGCAAAAAATATATATATTAGTTTTTCATCCTATTGTTATTTGTCTCCACTTTATGTCAGAGAACCATGAGCCCTGCATTGTCCCAGAGGGGTGGGGACAGTGTCTCTTTTCTATTGAGTAAATGAATGAATGAAGGAATGAGTCCCAGGATCTTAGAATATGTGAACTGCCTGGAGCCTTAGAGGAGAATTTTTATATTTATCTGCCATTTATTGTCTGCTTAGTATGGGCCAGGCCCTGCACTAGGTTGTACACACACCTACACACACACACACACACACACACACACACACACTAATCATCTTTAATCCTCATGACAACATTATGAGGTGCTTATAACCATTTCTATTTCTCAAATGAAGAAACCAAGTCTCAGAGAAATTCAGTGACTTCCTGAAGAAACAAAGCCAGAACACGGAGGAGCAACAACAGGGACCCAGGGCTTCTGACTGAGTGTCCCCAGGTCCTCTTGATCACCCTCTGGTGTCCCACCCCATTACACATGAAGAAAAGTCACATAGCCACAGGCAACAACAATAACGCTAACAAAAACAATAATAGCATTTGATCTGTGCCAGACACTGCACGGGAAGCTTTATATATATTGATTCATTTATTCCTCAGCAGGATGCCTGGATTAAGAGACTATGTAATTCTCATTTTAGAGATGGGGAGTCGAGGTTCAGAGAGGCTAAGTAACTTGCCCAAGGTTATCTAGTTAGTCAGTATGCCCCCTGCTTCTTTCCTGACCTGGAACCATCTACATGTAACAGCACAACAGGTATGAAAGACTCAGGTGTTTTCTTTTCTTTTTTAATCCTCACCCAAGGACATTTTTTTTTTTTTAGATATTTTGTTCAGATAGAGTGGGAGAGAGAGAGAAACATCAACGTACATCAAGTAGTTGCCACCCACACGACCCAACCAGGGCCGGGGACAAACTGCAACCAAGGTACACGCCCTTAGCGGGAACCGAACCCGGGTCTCTCCGGACCGCAGGCCAACGCTCTAACCGATGAGCCAAACCGGGCAGGGCAGATGTTTTCTAATCCTTTATGTGACTAGAAATACATATGTAGGTAGAGCCACAGAGTAAGATCGGGCAGGACACACACAGAGGGTGTACAAATGGAAGGAGGACCCTGGAGGTGTTGTGGTTAAAATCATGATTCTGGGGTCCCCTTGCATAGATCTGAGCCCCAGCTCTACCTCTTCCTAGCCACAGAACTTGGAACCATCCTGTCACCTGTCCAATCTTCAGTTTAGTGGAGGTAAAATGAGAATAATGCAAGCTATTGGAAATGGAATATGTCTTTACATATATTCTTTGTACTTACTGTACATACCATACACGCTCAGTGAATGGCTGCCATCATCATCACCATCATTAATGTGTTTACTATTATTAATATTCTTATCATTACATAAAATGACAGCAGTGGCTTAGCCCCTGATACCCTATTTTCTGTCAGAGAATCCTGAGACAAGAGAGCACGTAAGCTTCAACAAGGAAAAGAAAGACCGACCTTGTGTTTTGTCAGTGGGCAAGGATTCAAGAAGTTGTAGTGAACAGTAGGATGGCCAGGCTGAGGGGTCACTGGTTAGAAGCTGGACCCACCAAGTTAACCAAGTAGCTCAATAATTCCTTCTGATCCAGGGACTGAGGGATTGCCTTTCCTTCCCTTCATAGCTGACGTCCTGTATCCCTCCAACCAGCACACAGGGTCTGGAGAACCAGGGGTCACTCACCGCCATGACCAGCTCGAATGGGTACTTGTAGATGCGGACAGGAGACTGGTACTTCTGCACCATGTTCTCACGGGAGCCCAACAGAAGCCACTCAGGTAGGAGTGAGCACAGAGCCTGGGTGACAGATGACTAGTGAGGTAGCAGCTCCCTCCACATAAAACAAGAACCCTACCCACTGTTCCCCCACGCAAGATGCATGGGGTAGGGCCACCCCCTCTGGCCCCATCCACAAATCTCCCCAGACCTCAGAGCAAAGGACTCAATGTAATCCTCAAGTTATTCTCGGCCAGGCCCCAACACCTGCCCGGTCCATTACCCACTGCCCAGACCACATTCACCCTTCAAGAGCAATCAGTACCCCAAAATTTTCCTTGGTCCCTACACCTTCACATGGAGGCCCCAAGAAGCACCCTTCACTGCCACTCACATGGAAACACAGGCATTTTCAATTCTTACACTCCCACAATTCACCACCTACGCACCCCACAGCTCGCTTAGAATCACTGTACCTTCCCTCCCGTTTCCTCCCAGATACTTGACACACACAGTCTTTACCAAATTTCACACGTACTCTCTCTGTCACACACACACACACACACACACACATGCATGACTCTCCTCCAACATGGAACCACCCTTGCACACTCGTGTAACTTTCACACACGCTCAGCTCCCTGGAGCATGCACTTACCCAACTCCACGCACACAAACAATTCCTCTTGTGCACACAGATGTACACACACACGCACATACACACCGATGAGCACATGCACACACAAACACAAGCATGTACACAAGCATGCATGCACGGGCCGGCTCACCCGCGCCCTGCGAGTCTCCGGGGAAGCAGCCCCGGGCAGTGAGGAGCTCAGCCCGCCAGGGACCCCGTAGCCGCCGGACTCCGAGCGCAATGCCTCAGAGGCCCGACCAAAGTCACCAAGCCTAGCGAGTCGAGCCCTGCGCACCCTGGGCCCTGGCCGGCCAGGGAGGGGCCTGCGGGTCGGGAGGGAAATCTGCGGGGTGGGAGAGCTCCAGGACCCGGGACAGCAGAGATCGTGGCCCGGCCCCGCCTCTGGACTAGTCCCGCCCAGTGATGGGCCCGCCCACCGCCCCGCCCAGACTCATCCGGCTCCTTGATTGGTCCCGTTGCTGCCTGGCCCCGCCCCAGTCTTAGCCACCCCCTTCGTTTTAGTTTCTTGTTTGACCACGCCCCCAGTCTGGCTCTTCATTCTGATTGGCAACTACTCGAGTGGGCCCCGCCCCCATACTGGTCTCTCCCTTAACGCACACCACCTCGGGAATGACCCAATCCCAGGAAGACCCCGCCCCAAGGTTCTACACCCGGTCCTGCTCTGCCCCTAGGCGGACCTTTGCCCTGCCCAGTGCCTCCCCTCCTAGTATAATTCACACTTGGCCTCTGTTTGGGCTCTAAGCCGGGTCCTTCCCACTGGCCTCGCCCCAGAGCCCTCACATCCCTGCCCTCAAGTCCTCCCATGCATCATTCATTCACTCTGCAAACCTTTACAGAGCACCTACTAAGTGTCAGGCACCTCCAGGTGCTGGAGAGTCATCAGTGAACAACATAGACAAAAATCCTTGCCATCTTGGACTTTATATTCCGGGATGGAGAAAGACAGACGTTAAATAAATAAGGCAAATATATAGTATGTGAGATGGTGAAAAATGCCAAATAAAAAAATAAGCAAGGAAGGGGTTCAAGAAGCAAGTGGTGCCCTGGCCAGTTTGGCTCAGCGGTTGAGAGTCAGCCTGTGGACCAGAGAGTCCGAGTTCGGCCCCTGGGCACGTACCACAAAAAAGAAAGAAGCAGCAAGAGGTATCAGGGTATAATTTAAAACAGGGTGGACTGGGGCCTCTGTGGGAGGGTTGTTCATCATCCTCACCCAAACCCTTATGGCAATCCCAGGACCCCCAGGGGACCCAGCCTCTCTTCCATAAGTCCCTCTTTCCTCTCCCCATCCGTTTGGCCTGGAGGAGCCAAGAAACTGGCTCTGGACAGCGTTGTCATCGTGTACTTGAGCACCAACTATGTGCCAGCACTGGGTGGCTTTACACAGGGTGGGAGTCAGACAGGTGCACATGCCCTTGCACGACCCACACCCTGGGCAGGGAGTGGGTGTGCAGGAGACAGACACTCAGTTCATCAAACATATCTTTTCACGCTGTGATACCCAGCCCCTGTTTTATTCCTAACTTGTATCACACCCTGTAATCATCTAATTTACTCATTCATTTTACTTATTTGTGGGTTATTGACTTTCTCTCTGGGAGGCTGTGAGCTTCACACATTCTGAGACCATGTCTGTCTTGTTATCTGTCCCCGGATCCACAGGATCTTTTTTTTTTAATTGCAGTTGACATTCAGTATTATCTTATTAGTTTCATGTTTACAGCACAGTGGTTAGACAATTATACAATTTACAAAGTGATTCCCCTGATAATTCTAGTACTCACCTGACACAATACATAGTAATTACAATATTATTAACTATATTCCTCATGCTGTACCTTACATCCTCGTGACTATTTTGTAACTGCCAATTTGTAATCCTTTCATCTTTTTCACCCAGCCCCCTCTGAACTCCTCTCCCATCTGGCAACCCTCAGTTTGCTCTCTGTATCTATAATCCTGTATCTGTTTTGTTTGTTCATTTATTTTGTTCTCTAGATTCTACACATAAGTGAAATCATATGGCATTTCTCTTTCTCTGTCTGACTTAGGTCCGGTGGATCTTAGTGGCGACCTGGCACACGGTAGGTGTTCAGTGTGTTTTCTTCGTTAGGGTTATCAAGGATGGAAATGGAGCGCGAAGTTCCCGCATCTGCCACAAGGTGGCAGCAAACGACAGTCCATGGCTCTACAAGGTGGCAGTCGCCCTAGTCCAAAGCTCCTGGGTCTCCACACATTGAGGAGTTGAGGGAGAAGGATCCAGAGATGTTTTGCCGTACCCCGCGCTCATCAAGGAAACTCACGTTTTTCCTGGGTGTCAGTGCATGTGTGTAGTGAGCATTAACAACCAGCTATTGTTACAGCACGAAAGGCATTAAACTGGCACAAAGTAACCACAGAGCAGGGTGTTTACACCTGGAAGGATGAGGCCACAGTAGTCCGTCCCAAACTTTACAGCTCCTAAGACTCCCTTCAGCAGGGTGCATGTTAATATGCAGATTCCCGGGGACCTGCTGGATGCAGGGGATCCCGGGAGGCTCGGAGTAAATGCTGGCCCTGGAGAAGGAGGTGGCGAGCTCCTAAGTGTGGGCGGTCTGCTCTGAGAGCCCCTCCCAGATGTGGGCGTGCCTCCCCGCCCATTCATCTCCTTCTGCCCCGCCTGAATCTTCCTGGCCGCCCCACTCCACCCCACACGTCCCCTTTGCCGCAGAAAGTGACAGCTTGGGGGAGCAGCAGCGGGTGTGGGAGATGCTGGCAAAGGGCCAAGAAAAGCCAAAAGGCGCCGAGGAAAGGCCCTGAAACTGCGGAAGAGGCTCCAGATTTCCTGGATCCGTCAGCGCCAGCCTCCCAGCCGGTGAGGGCGGGACCCTGGGTGGGGGAGGGGTGCGACAGTGGGTGGGTACAGGGAGCTCAAAGTGGAAAATGGGGCCACGAGGGGAGCGAGAACCTAAATCCTCCTCCTGAAGCCCCAGGGAAGTGACTTAATCCCACCACCGGCCTCAGGTTCCCTGTTATGACCACTGTTCTACTAATTATTCCTGCCATTTATTTATTGAGCACTCATCGGCATGTGCCGCACCAGGCACTATTCTAAGGCTTTACCAACATTCGTACAGTGAATCCTTGAGAGCAAACCCTGTAGGGATGAAATGTTTGGAACTCTGTGAAGGTGCTGGGTGCACCGCATTGTGAATGCGCCAAACGCCACCGAATTGTACACATCAAAAGGGTTAATTTTATATTCTATGACTATCATCTAAATTATTTGTTGTTGCTCTGGCCGGTTTGGCTCAGCAGTGGGAGTGTCAGCCTGCGGACCAGAGAGTCCCGGGTTTGGTTTCTGCTAGGGGCACATACCAAAAAATAAATAAATAAATAAATAAATCATTTGGTGTTGTTAATTCTCACCCGAGGATAAGAGAGTGAAAGGAAAGGAGGGAGTGGGGGAGAGAAAGATAGAAACATTGATCGGCTGCCTCCGGGAATCCAGCCTGCAACCCTGGCATGTACCCTGACCAGGAATCCACCTGGTGACTTGGTACACGGAACAATGCTCAACCAACTGAGTCATACTGGCCGGGTGCAGGTCACAACTATTTTAATGACAAGGAAACTAAGGCACAGAGAAGTTGAGTAACTTGCTCAAGGTCACACAGCTAGCTAATAAGGAGCTCAAACCCAGGACTTGGGTTCTCCAAAGCTTTCTTCCCTCAGGGCTGGAGCTGAAGTACCAAAGATGTGATTTCCCAGCCTGAGCTGGAAAGATAGCCAGGCATCCTGTCCTTGGACTGAGGAGGTGCCAGGTAGATGGGGTAATGCAATGGGGATGCCAGGAACATTAAGTCAGTTCAAGGGGCAGGACCTCCAACCTGTTCCTACTTGCTGCTTCCTACTTGCCCTGGGGGAGTGACCAAGCCAAAGCTGCCTTTTGGTGAGGTGTGTTTTGAAGACTCCAGAAACCACATGCCATGTCTTTGAATATCTTCTCTGCAGACAGGCCACTGCTGCAGGAAACTCAACCATTAATAATGCATTGTTTTTCAATATTTTTTTTTCTTTATGTTTTTCTCTTTTCTCTTAAAAAACATTGATGTGAGAGAGACACATTGATTGGTTGCTCCCTCAGGGCCCTGACTGGGGCTCAGATCGAACCTGCAATCCAGGTACGTACCCTGGACTGGGAATCAAACCCACAACCCTTAGGTCCATAGGCCAACACTCTAACCACTGAGCCAAACTGGACAGGGCTAATATTTTTTCTTTATTGATTTTAAAGAGAGAGGACAGAAGAGCGAGAGATAGAAACATCGATGAGAGAGAACATTGATTGGCTACCTCCTGCATGCCCCCCACTGGAGATTGGGCCCACAACCTGGGCATGTGCCCTGACTGGGAATCGAACTGTTGACCTCTTGGTGCACGGGTCGATGCTCAACCAGTGAGCCACACCAGGCAGGCAGTGATGCATTTTTTATACTATTAAATTCATTTATTATTATTATTTATATGTTTATTTTTAATTCTCACTCGAGGACATGCTTAGAGAGAGGAAGGGAGGGAGCGAGAGAAACATCGATATGAGAGAGAAACGTCGATCAGTAGTCTCCCATATGCATCCCGACCTGGGATAGAACCACAACCTAGGTTTGTCTCCTGCCAGGGAATCAAACCCACAATCTTGGTGCACAAGATGATGCTCCAACAAACTGAGCCACGTGGCCAGGGCAATCATGCATTTACTTGAATAAACACTGGGCCCAATCCTAACACAGAGGCCCCTGGAAGGTGTCCTGTAGGGAAATGTTCTCTGTTGGATACTCAGTGTGGCACCAGGGGCAGGTGGGATGAAGAGGGGGATGGAGTGAGAGGGTCTAGAGTGCAGACCCTTGCGGGACACCAGTGGTCCTAGTGCTGAGCCCTAGAATGCATAAGGGCCCTGGGATAGTGCTGAAGCTGAAGAGAGTTGTGCATTTTTAAAATTGTGGTAAAATACACATAACATAAAAGTTACCCTTTAATCATTTTTAAGTATACAGTTAAATGGCTTTTAATACATTCATAAGATTGTGCAACCAGCCTCACTCTCCACTTCCAGAACATTTTCATCACTCCAAAAGGAAAGTTGGTCCCATTAAGCTTCCTTTCTCCCTCCCCTAATCCCTCGGGTACTCTCAGTCTGCTTTCTGCACCAATCCCATTGGTCCCAGGGCTGCCTCCACTTTCTTCCCCCTTCTCAGAGCAGAGCTCAGAGGCCTCTCGGATTTGGGAACCTGGAAAGTCTTAGGGGTCATTGGCAGGGCAACTGCGTACAGGTGTGCA